ACACTTACTAGGCATGACGAGCCATTGCCGCGGACACTGGCGACGACACTGGCACGGACGAGCACTACCGGGCGCTGCTGTGCGCCATAAGCAGGCGACTGGCACGCGGGCTGCGCGTGCTGGGCTGACTGGGCACTCGGACGTGCTGCTGGGCAACGCCGAGGCCCGCTGGGCATCGCTAGCATGCTGATGGGCGTGCTGGCGTGCGTGGTAATTGGCCAGTGTGCGTAAGATGCTGCTGGCGTGCGTACGGCGTCGCAGGTCACACTGCTGGGCGTGTGATGCGCTGCGGTATACGCGGGCTGGCTAGGCTGACATTGCCGTGCGTGTTGACGTGCACTGCGCACGCCTACCGCATGACTGGGGCTTGACTGCCGAGTACTGGCAACACACACGCACCGCTGGGCGTGCGGACGCTGCCAGCGTACCCGCTGGGACTGCCGGGCGCACCGGGCACACGCTGTGTGTGGACAGGCATCACGGTCGGCCTTTCGCCGGCCGTCCGGCTACTTTTCTCGGCAACCCACATATGACTGATCATAGTTTGACTTGATTTGACTAAATATGCATGAATTGTTCGGGACTTGCCGATTAAATCGTGAAATCACTCGGAGGGGGCTTATATAGCACCTCCGAGGCCGTTTTCGCACAAAACGTAAACCGAACGACATGATTTTGACATGGTCTTCCTAACATGAACTTAAGTACATGAAAAGAGGGTAATTAGAAGTATACCCTTCAGTTTGGTCGAGGAATGCACAGTGACCTGTGTGCGTGTTCGGTGCTCGGTTAGGTGTGCTCTTGCTTCTCCTTTGCTTCGGCTACCCTTAGCTATTTTTCTATGATTTTTCCTCTATTTTTCCTTACTATTTTCTCTCAGATTTTGGCTGATAGTAGTCTCGGTTTTGCATGGGAAAATGCATTGGAAAATATTACACGCTCGGTTATTTAAAGGAAGGTAAATTCGTTGGGTAAACTTGAGTCAAAGAGGTGAAGGATGATGATTTTTCCATTGATGCCACATGTCCTAGCCGTGGGTTGAGGTGGCGTGTCCTCGGCTTAGTCATCGTCCGAGATGGCACGCATGCACGGGCTTAGTCACCTCTCGTGGCCTCGTGCGGTGCCATGTGTGCCAAGCTACTAGGTGACTCACCCTAGCAACTTGCACCCAAACATTTATCCTTAGTAATTTCTCACGGCAAGTTGGAAGCTTAAGACTTGGATTACTTAGTCATGATCATGGTGCTTAATGGTGCATAAGCATGCACTTGATGATGGCTTAGGGCATGTGCATGCCTCGCACGAAAATGTGCGTTGCGCACGCATTGTCCGTACTCGCACGCGCACATGGCATCGCACGACATGCGTGGGTGCGTGCATGTCCGAGACTTAGCTTTAGTCTTGATTTCAAAATTAAATCCGAACGTTCTTAACTTTTAATAATTAATCTCGATTAATAATATCCGTTTATAAAATAAACGGTTCAAAAATTAATTATCAACTTGGACTCAGTTAATAATTAATCGAGTAGACTTTTCGACTTAATATCGAACTTATTAACTTAAACGCTGAAAATGAACGAGATTAATAAAAGAAAATACATCACTTTCATTAATAAGAAACTGGATTATTACAATATACCCTCCTTAAAATATTTCCGTCCTCGGAAATATAAAACTGAACATATATACATAAAAAGATATATACATCAGAACTGAAAATCAGGAAAACGAGCGCGAATGTTAGCCTCCTGCTCCCAAGTGGCTCCGTGGCGATCCCACTGAATACGAACGAGGGGAACATCACGTTTTCGGAGCCGTTGAACCTGTCAGTCCAATACAGCTACCGGTCGCTCCTCGTAAGATAAATCTGGATGGATCTGAATATCAGTATGAGGAATGACATGATCGGGGTCGCACACGTACTTGCGTAACATAGATACATGAAAAACATTGTGAACACTGGAAAACTCTGGAGGTAAGGCCAATCGATACGCAACGTCGCCCACTCGCTCGAGAACTTCGAACGGGCCAATGAATCGAGGGTGCAGCTTCCCTCTCTTCCCGAAACGAATAACTCCGCGAAATGGACTAACTCTGAGAAAATCTCGCTCGCCAACCTCGAACTGAATGTATCGTCGATGATGATCGGCGGTTGATTTCATTCGACTCTGGGCTGTCTTAAGTCTCTGCCGGATCAACTCGACCTGCTCTGCTATCTCCTCGATTAATTTCGGACCGAGAACTCGACGTTCACCGACGTTGTCCCAATAAAGAGGGGAACGACACTTACGACCGTAAAGTGCCTCGTAAGGAGCCATCTTAATAGAAGAATGATAACTGTTGTTGTACGCGAACTCAACGTACGGTAATAACGACTCCCACTTAGCACCCCTGTCAACAACCAAAGCCCGTAACATATCCTCCAACGTCTGAATGGTCCTCTCTGTCTGACCGTCAGTCTCTGGATGGTAGGCTGAACTGAATGCTAACTTCGTGCCCATCGCCTTGTGCAAACTCTGCCAGA